CCAAATATGCCCCTCCCTAATGCGATCCTTTGTGCAAAATTTCATTTTAATATCTTTATTTATGGCTTAGTTATGACACTTTATAGGTTTTCGGTTTTCGCCATTTTGTGAGCGTGGCAGTGTGCCGATTTTGCCCTTATTCTTACGGAGCCAAGACATACGTGTACCAAGTTTCATCATGATATCTTAATTTTTACTCAAGTTACAGCTTGCACGGACGGACGGACGGACAGACGGACAGACAGACATCCAGATTTCAACTCTACTCGTCACCCTGATTATTTTGGTATATATAACCCTATATCTAACTCTTTTAGGTTTATGGCTTACAAACAACCGTTATGTGAACAAAACTATAATACTCTCTTTAGCAACTTTGTTGCGAGAGTATAAAAAGATAAATAAAACAAATTCGAAAAGCGTATCACCTATTATCATATAATCTTATATATATTAACTTTCTCTGATTTCAAACGAAAAAAAATCTAGGCAAGTTATATTCTTCATCGGCATTTTATTCACCTGCATTGCATCCAACGGTGGAAGATCAGGTGGAACTAGCACGCAGAATATCACATTCATTGAGCGACATAAGCAACCAGAAATCGAAAGGACAATCAATGTATGTGAATCGCAAAAAACGCTCTGTTAAATGGGTTCATGAAGGTGCTGGGCAAGGTACGATATTCTTTATACATATGTGGACATGTATGTAGTATATACAACTTATTTATGTTTGCATGTATAACAAAAGGTGCAAAGGGGACATGCATTCTCTGTCAAATAAACAATAGGCCTCTTTGTGCCATGAGTACTAATAAGAAAAAATTGTTTTTTCATAGAGTTTAATAATGCAACAACAAAATAGTCCAGCTCATTATTTCCTATCGTTGATAACACAGTTTCGTTGGCTTATTTATTTATCGAAAAATATGATATTAATGGTGTAAAGTACTTATTTGTGTCAAATAATTTAAAATTAAAAAATGGACATATCTGAAATACATTGCACTTTTGATTTTTAGTAGTATTACCTGTAAAAATTTATCAGAGAAATGAAGATGAAGAACATAAGAGGTCTGCTTGGCATTGTATAAATGACAACTCCTCAAAATGTCAAGAGCTAAAAGAAATTATGAAAAGAAACAAATCTATCACATTGTCACACTTTTTATAAATTCTTCTTTCATTTGCTCTTTTTGAAGTGACCTAATCTATCTACTGTCTATTTTCTTATTGTGTTTTGATGGCATGCATTAATACGCAATACGATAAGATATCATAAACGCTTTCAAGACTCAATATCTTTATTTTATTAATGCAATAAAGGATGACTAAAACGAAAAGAAAAATATGGCAATTTTTCAAACTATGTTCTCCCTCTCTAGTGAAGCTTCACACTAATACCTAAATCGAGATTATACATTACATTCAGACTTATACTAGTATTTTGGATATTTGGAAGGAGAGTGTATTTCCACTGGCGAAAATAAATTTACGAAGGGAAGCACGCTCCCGCAGAATAATAATTAAACAAAATTTTGTATGCAAATGTTTGAATTAATATTATATTGGACTTCTGAGGGATGGCGGACAATTTTCTGGGTGGCATAATTTTGTATATTGATTTGTAAGGACAAAAAGAGTTCCTTTCGTTCTAAGAATTTATGATCCACCAAGGTTATTTGGTTGTTTAAAAGGTTGCCTTCAAAACAACGAAATTGGAACACTTTTCATGGGAACTTTTTAATACTCTTACAACCAGTTGCTACAGAGTATTATAGTTTTGTTCACCTAACGGTTGTACATATCACCTAAAACTAAGCGAGATAGATAAAGGCTTAAATATAATATATTATTACATAAATGATCAGGGTGACAAGAAAAGCTGAAGTCCGGTTGACTGTCTGTCTGTCCATCCGTCCGTCGGTGTAAGCTGTAACTTGATTAAAAGTTGAGGTATCTTGATGAAACTTTGTGTGTGGGTTCCTTGGCAAAATTTCGACTTCTTAGATGGGTTATATCTCGTTGCAGCCAATACTCGCACCCGCCTCTGTGCAGCATAAAACGCACGTGAACAAACACAAGACTAGACGTCGAGAAGCTGCAATCACAACAGACAGCCGAACGATTTCGACTTGAGCTGCTGCTCTCTGAGAGCATTCGTCAATTACTCGGTATAAGGGACCCGACCAAAGGCATTTCAAGCTCCTTACGTATAGCTGCAACCAAACCATTGGTTTAAGGAAAATGCAAAAGAATATCTGGTACGATGAGGGGTGCCGTGTCGAAGCGGAGAGAAAACAGACTGCTACCTCGCAACGTTAAAATCGACAACAACACCTTTGGATTAGGATAGATACGGAGAGTTGAAGAGGGAAGAGAGACGCATTTGCAGACAAAAAAAGAGAGAGGCGGAAATGCGTGAGTTCGAAAAGATTGACCAGCTGACCGACAGGGGTAATGCTCGAAAATTCTACGAAAAGATGCGGCGACTAACTGAAGGTTTGTAGGTTGGAGCATACTCTTGTAGAACCCCCAAAAGTGAGCTAGTGGCTGATGCCCAGAGTATACTAAAATTATAGAGGGAACACTTCTCTAGTCTACTGAATGGCTGTGAAATACAACGCCAGGGAAGGGCGAACCCGATTTCCCAATCCACGAAGAGAAAACCCCCACAATCTGCGCCATATTTATTGTGTGAAAGATTAAAGCCCACCTTCAACAAACTGATTGGACCTTATCAGTGTGGCCTTAGGCCTGGCAAACAACAACTGACCAGAGTACCATCTTCTATAAGAGGGTACAGCTGTTGGCGTATGCCGATGATATTGATATCATTGGCCTCAACACCCGTGCCGTTAGTTCTGCTTTCTAAAAAATTTATAAGGCAGGAAAGAAAAGGGGTCTGGTAGTGTACGAGGACAAGACGAAATACTCCTGTTATCAAACAGATAGTGGTCGCGACTAGGCACCCACGTCATTGTTGACCGTCATAACTTCGGAGTAGTAGATAGTTTCATCTATCCTGGAAAAACACATCAGCCTCAAAACCCAACGCAGGATATCTCTTGCCAACAGGTGCTACTTCGGAATAAGTTGGCAATTGAGAAGTAAAGTTTACTCTCGACGAAAAAAAATAAATCAGTCATCATTCCCATCCTGAAGCAAAGGAAGAGAAAGATCTCCAATCCGTTGGAAAGACCAGGTGGAAAAGACCTGACTTCACTCGGCATTTCCAATTGGCGCCACGTTGCGAAAAGAAGAAACAACTGGCGCGCTGTTGTTAACAACTCGACTATAACCGCCAGTAAAGAAGAAGACATATTTCATAAGCCACTAGAGCTAAAACAACCAAATTTTTTGAGTTCAAATCTTATAAGAACTTATACCGACAGTGTGAAAATAGATGGAATCGGAGGATAGCTTCCTTTTAACGGTGCTGCTCAGAATTTTTAGAAGCTTAATAAATACATAACTAATTACACCAGATACGTTAAATTTTATCTTCAACATTGTAAGAGAAGGCTTTATCAGAGCCGGTGGGAAAATTGGACACCGTCCACTTTTTGGTGAAATCCCATATCTCGGGACCCGACCATCCGATGTCAAATAAATTACGTACTAAATGTTTAGCAGATTCCTATATTACAGTTGAAAAATAGGCAAAATCGTACTACAACCACGCCTACTTCCTATATAACACAATTAAAAATTCCATTTGATTCTTTCTGTCATTAAGTAAAGAAGTAATTAATACAACGGAATAAAATTTTCCAATAATAATTATCTCAAAGTATGGCACCTTTTTACTTCAAATTGTACAAGTCCAACCGAAACTGTTAAAGACCCTATGTACCACATATATGAACCCCAGTAACTATAATTGACTTTTGATGGGAAATGTCGGCCAATGTGTGAGGTACGAGGTGTGTTCAAAAAGTATCGCGAATTTTGTATTCTTTCAGAAATTATTTATTTCATCATGAATATCTATTTTGTCCCCTTCAAAGTATTCCTCATGAGATATTATACACTTGTGCCAACAGTTTTTCCAATCTTCGAAGCACTTCAAAAAAACATTTTCCTTTTCATTTCCATCCTCCTTCGATGCCGTCTTTATGTCGTGAAGAGAAGCGTAACGTCGTCCTTTCATGGGCCTCTTCAGTTTAGGGAGCAAGGAAAAGTCACAGGGGGCCAGATCTGGGGAAGACGGTGGCTGCGACATCATTAGTGTTTTGTTTTTGGTCAAAAAGTCGCGCAACGATGTGTGAGCAGGGGCGTTATCGTGGTGCAAAAGCCAATTTTTGTCACATCTTCTCGGCCTTCTGAGAACATTTTGTACCACCGATAAACGTTGCTTCGGTCCAAGGTAGCTTCTCCGTCTGTCACAGTCAACATTCGCAATGCATCCGCGCACTTAATTTTGTTTTTCACACAAAATTTGATACAGATTCTTTGATTCATTTTTTTAATAGGTAAAAATTGAAGACGATCCAAAACACGTGCAAGCAAAGCAGCTGTCAACAATTAAATGAACATTCATAATGGCCGAGCTTGTCGGCATAAGAGACATGACCAACATAACGCCGCAAAAAATTCGAAATTCGAATATACGTAACCCGCGAAAATTCAAAATTCGCGATACTTTTTGAACACACCTCTTATATAATATAATTAAAATTCTGGGATAATCCTTCTCTGACAATGGTTTGTCTGTGTGTCAAAAATTGGTCGAATCGGGCCAATATATCCCTGAGCCTACAAATATTTTATATAAAGATATTCGAACTTGCAGGAAAAGCGGGTTTTAATCATGACAGTTTATCTTTGTGTCTAAAATTCATAAATTTGACCTTATGACCATTACCAGAATATTCGAACCTCGGGCTGACTTTTATCCATATGATTTGTGATTGTATGTGAGGTACTTTCGCTTTTCTAACAAATCGTATGCCTTAATTGTCGGCCAGTCCATGAGTTGTATAGCGTTTATGTATGTATAAAATTTCTTAGATTCCGATCCTCTTGTTGACGTTTTCTATCTTAAAGGGAGTTAGGTTTAAAGGCAAAAAAAAAGGGTATAATTATGTTTGTTTTGCGTTGTCATGAGTAACATAATTTTATTAAAATTAATAACATATTATTGTACAACTTTTGAAGATATTAGACAAAATTTTCAATGAGAAATATTAATAAATAAGCCCGTGACGGGGAATCTCCAGAAGCACCTTGAAAAAAAGTGAAAAACAATATAACTGCACCCGTCAAATTGACGGATTTTTGATAATGGCTTTCATAGAAACTTTTGAGTTAGTTTAAGTAAATAAAAGAATACAGTTTAGCAATAACAACATTTAATATAATAATTCATTAATTATTTATAAAAAAAAAAACAGTTTCTATTTGAATGAGGCACATATTTTACATTTACATGTTGTATTAGTTGAACATTTGCCACAAACATATTTGTTGCATGCATTGCAAATATAGTAAGTCGCTTTGTTTTTATTGCACAATCGAATTTGGCAAGATTTGCGTTTTTTCTTTTTTTTTTTTGTTGTGAGTTTTCTGAAGTACAATCCATTGGTGGTTTTTGTTTTACAGTTGACTTTACTTAGAATGTCTCAAATAGTGAATAGATCTGCGCTATAAAACACTCAATCTTAACCCAAAGA